AAGATACCGAGAAGCTTTAAGTGCACTTAATCGAAAAGTAAAAGATCATGATCATATAAATGGAAAGTACCGAGGCCCAGCTCATGACTCTTGTAATAAAAAGTTGCATATAGGCTCTTTCGAAACTAAAGTACCCCTTATCTGTCATAATTTCCGAGGGTATGACTCTCATTCGCATATGAAAGTTATGAGCAAGTTTATAGCTGATAAGCTAAATTGCATCCCAGAGAATATAGAAAAGTACAAAGCCATAGATGTAGGACAGCTTCGGTTCTTAGATAGCTTTCAGCATATAGGAATGGGGCTAGATAAATTGGTTGAATGCCTAGAAGGGAAAATCGAAAAATTCCCTCTAAGTATTAAGTATTTTACAGAAAAAGCCTATTCAATAGACAAGATTAAGCTTCTTTTCGAAAGGGTGTCTTTCCATATGACTGGACAAATGCATGGGAAAAATTCGACAGAACAAGCCTCCCGTCTAAAAAGGATTTCTATTCACTTCTTAGTCAACAAAATATTAGTAAAGAGGATTACGAACATGCACAAAAGGTATGGCAAATATTTAAGATAAAGAACTTTGGAGAATATCATGACCTTTATCTTGAGACTGATGTACTTTTACTTGCAGATGTTTTCATGAATTATACCATAATATGTCTCAAAGTTGATGGTCTAGATCCATCTCACTATGTCTCTATACCTGGAATGTTTAACGATTCTCTATACAAAAGTAGCAGAGTAGAACTTAAGCTTATGACAGATATGGATGAGTATCTAATAGTTGAAAATGGAATCCGTGGAGGAATGACAATGGCATGTTATAGATATACCAAAGCAAATAATCCACAATGTCCAGACTATGAGCCCAGCAAGCCGAAGTCCTGGGCCTTATATGAAGATATGAATGCCTTATATTCAGGTACGATGACCCAATACATGCCCACAGAAATTCTAGATAAGGTAAGTTCAGAGGAAGTACCAAATATTCAAAGTATTGTACCAGATGCAGAAATAGGGTATATACTTGAAGTTGATTTAGAAGCCTCAGTGCACTTGCATGATTACTTTACAGATTATCCTTTAGCGCTAGAAAAGCAGATAATACCAGAAAACTGGCTTAGTCTATACAATGAAATATTAGTACGTGATAAAAATGTTGGAGAAGAGAAATATGTATCTGGAAAAAAGCTAGTTCAGACCCTTTTTACTAAGAAGAATTATATAGGTCATAACCGAGCTCTCCAGATATATATAAAGTTCGGAATGAAGGTTACAAAGATTCATAGCGCTCTCAAGTTTAGGTAGTCTCCGTGGATAAAGGAATATATTGAGGAAAATATTCATAAACGCAAAATAGCCAAGGCAAATGGTGATGAGTTTGGGGTCGTATATTATAAGCTAAAAAATAATGCAGTCTTCGGCAAGCAGATGAAGAATGTCCGTAAACATATGAGAGTAGAATTACCCCGAACAGAAGAGGATAAAAAAATCAGACGCCTAGCAAGTTCGCCATTATTTGTAGGTTTCAAGCAATTCGAAGAAGAAATTACAGCTATTCACATGTTAAAAAGCACAGTGACTCTAAACAAACCAATCTATGTAGGGCAGGCAATTCTTGACATTAGCAAGGCCATGATGTTTAACTTTTGGTACGGTTACATAAAGCCTCGCTATGGAGATAAAGCCTGTCTACTTTATACAGACACAGACTCACTCATCATGTGGATAGAAACTGAAGACATATATAAAGATCGAGCAGAAAGGCCAGACATTTTTGATCTTAACTATTCAGGCGATTTATTTCTAATGAAAGATGAGACAAAAGGCTTACTCATAGGGGAAACAGTATGTTTAAAGCCAAAGATATACTCAGTCCTTCCAGTGGGACATGATCCTAAAACTCCTGATGATCCAGATTCCGAAAACTCTAAAAAGAAGCATGGTATCCAAAAGGCAAAGGGTGTAAAGAAAAGTGTGATCAAAAGAGAGCTTCGATATGATAAATTTCTAGAATGTCTTAGGAATAAGAAACTAACTCGGCATGATATGTACGGTCTTTGCAGTTATGATCATCAAATATATCTGAAAAGGGTGAATAAAATAGTGTTAAATCTATATAATAACAAATGCTAGATCTTACTTGATGAAATTCGAACTCTTCCCTACGGACATTGGCGAATAGATTATATAAACACCTGGTAGCATCTGAAATATCTCCTGAGCAAGCAGAAGAAAGAGCTATGAAAGCTAAACTTCATGTCAAGGCATAGATGCTTTATAACAAATATTTTTTTCGGGTAAAAAAAATTCTAAAGAATATATTTTCATTAATTAAAGTTTTTTTATTGCTATAGTAAAAACATATAAAATGGT